CTATATATTTTTAGTTGTCCGATTAATTTCTTTCTATTTTTAGTAGAGACGGGGTCTCGCTCTTGCTCAGGCTGGTTTCGAACTTCTGAGCTCAAACGATCCGTCCGCCTCGGCCTCCCAGAGTGCTAGGATTACAGGCGTGAGCCACCGCGCCCGGCCTGAACATAGCTTTGATTGGACTACTACAATTAGTTAAGGCCAACATTTTTTTTTTTTTTTTACTAAATCAAGACTTCCTCCTACATCTAGAACTTTGCCATCTTTCTTATATTGAGGATATCAATTCATATAAGAATCTCCCTCTTAATGAGAGTAAGCATCTGAAAATTCAGTGTTGTTCTACGCAAAAATACTAAATGGGAGACTATTTTTCATTATTTGAAATGAGATAAAATACAATGGAGTCCATGTCAACACAAGTATCTGAAATATAACTAAAACACAATATACACACATACATACGAGTTACTATATTAGGATAAAAAATGCTTAAAATTTCATTTCCCAAACAATAGATTATTAACAAGTTGTCTGTAGTAATATGCTCTTTGTTAACACCAGCAGCAGCTGAGAAGTAAATCCTCTTTATTGATACTAAAGGAGCTTTTTCACAACAGCTACATATGATTCTGTTATTTACCAATTATATTTGAAACTTGAGACCTTTCCTCTGCTCTTTTTATTAAAACGCATGTAATTTTAGGAGGTAAATCTACATATTTCCTACATAAACACAGGTGAGTATATTGGGACATACATCTATTCCATGCAATTTTGTAATTAAAAACCAGAAGTGTTCTATACTGGGAAAACACACACCAGGGAATGCTCCGCAGGATGTGCTGGTACCACCTGACCCGACAAGGACTTGAGAAACAAATTTACAGCTATGGGAAATAATAAGGAGAAACAACAGAACAACTGCTAACTAGATCCACTTCCACAGTCCTTAAAAGTTATGGTAGGAAGCAATAATTAATTGTTAATTTAAAACTTGTGACATTTTCTTTGCGATAAGTTGTAAGATTATTAAATTTTTAAATTAATACCAGTGTCCAAAAAAGAAACAAGATAATCAACAATATCAAAATAATGTTATTGTCACATCACTTCCAAAACATATTATTTGGGCAAAATGATCCATTACTGCATAATTTTGAAAAGATACCAATAATCTCCTCTAAGATTGAATAGGTAGTTTGGAGAATTCCCTAAAAATATTGCTGCTTGTAAACTCTGAGTTTACATCTAACATCAACAATAAAAATGGCCCAATCCATCCCTAAAATCTTGGGAATCTCTTTAGGGACCTACGCTTAATTTTTTTCACAGCTTTAATGTACTGCCCACGAAGTTCTTCCAAGGCCCCCTCGTTGCATGACAGGCAAGCATTTTCAATGGCCCCTTCTGATAATGACCTAAAAACAAACCAAAAGATGGCAAAAACAGAGATGGTAAGTGCAAAACTTCATTTGAAAAATACATCTGTATCCATATATTCTAATAAAATAAACTGTGATGTGCTAAAAATTTCATATAAAAAGATTTCCTCTACACAAACATTGAAAAGAGGAGAAAAATAGAAACTTAAATTTTATAGTTGCTTAAATAAATTGTAAATCCACATGATAAAAATTTATGCAGCTGTTGAAAAGCATACTGTAGAATATCTAATAACATAAACTGTGATGTGCTAAAAATTTCATATAAAAAGATTTCCTCTACACAAACATTGAAAAGAGGAGAAAAATAGAAACTTAAATTTTATAGTTG